TTTTGTTGAACAAACACATGTGGTCAGGTAGCCCGGGTTGAACTTGACAAACAACAACAAATTTAGCAACAAAAAAATAACTGTGAAGGAGTTCACTCGATCATCAGATCCAGCGTATGCAAAATCGATTTCCTTATTTTTACATGAATTTTTCCCTCGCTCCATGTCAATGAAGGATAAGAGAGTTTGGGATGATTTATGTTGTCATGTTTTGGAAGGTTGCAATGTTTATCGATTTATGTTTGTCTTGTTTATGAAGGTTGCAATGTTTAACTGGACATTTGGTACCTTAGCTTGTTTGTTTTGAACGGCGATTAGGGAGGGATAACCAAAGAGCAAGAAAAACACCATAAAAGGGGGCGAAACCCAGAATCAGAAAAACACCATACAGTGCAAACAACCACGGAGTTGGAACAATTTGAACCCATATTCACTCACCTAAGTTGAATCGAAGCACGATTTAGATAAATCTTGGTCAAACAATCACGGATTTGGCGAGGAACCAAGAGAGATAAACACCATTGTAGTCCACGTAAGCCATCCAAACAATGTCTTTTTTTTTTATCACTTAAGCCACATGGATATCACATCAACTCCGTCTACCTTCCCTTATCCATGTAAGCAGGCCACAAAGGATTTTTAACTATAGTATTTGATGGAACCGTGACGAAGGATAGATGTGTCACACAGATAGACCTATCAAAATATGTCATAAATACATTTCTTAACCCAAATTTGATGGACCGAGTTCTTATATAAGTTAATTATGTTCTGTAAATGGGTCATAAATGGATTTAGAATGGTAAAGACTAAAATAATATGGGTATTAAATAGATTTACAATTATTTAGACCTAACCCACCTTTATAACTCTCTTTTCACTCTTTCTCGCCCTCATTTGATCTCCTGCTCACTCACTCCGCGCTCTCACCTCAAATATGGAAATATTTTAGCACTACGAATTTGGTCGGTTATGGGTCACTAGATTTATTTTGCATGGAAATGGATCAAAATGAGTTAAATGGGTCAATTTGGATCGGACAATTTTCGGCCCAACTTGCCCGTTGACAGGTTTGCACACAGCTACAAAATTGGAGCTTTTGGTGATGCAAAAAGTTTAGGGTGATTATGTCATAATTAGTATAGTTTGGAATTTTTGACGACTTTTTTTCAAAAAAAAAAAAGAGAAACTATTGAGATAAAAGAAGTGAAGGTTTTAAGCAAACGACACTATAAAAGCTGAGAAATAGTCACATAGCTTTATCTATCCCAACTAATTTGTTGAGCAAAAGTCATTGTGGTCCTGCGGTAGAAGTTGAATTACATCCCAATTACTTTGGTAGTTGTCTTCCTCATCGCTTAATAAAGTTGTTTGGACTTAAGCAGGTTTTTAAAATGGTTCATCTCCTAAGATCTATCTCTTGAGCTTTAGGGGATGTATAGCATCAATGGAATATTCCCTCCTCTTTAGGAAGGCAAATATCATAAGGGAAATTAGGGATGCGAGATATACGAATACCGACACGTTAAAATAAGAAGCGTATCCATGGGTTACATCCCAACTGCTTTGGTAGCTGTCTTCCTCGTCGCTTAATAAAGACTTCGAGTTGGGCGTTGAAGTGGTTGAAGCCACCACTGGCCAGGAGGAACATTTGTGTTGTACTGTGAAACGTGATTCTCATGGTGGTTCACCATTTATTTATGACAATTCAAGAGTAGCTACTCCGTCGTACTATAGTTATTGGGTGTCACATGCTGGAAGTGTACCCCGTATGAAGCTTGAATTATGGCTATTTATTGGTTGCCAGCGTACCTCGTGTCAAGGTGTTGTTTGATGTCTATTGTCGTATAATTATGGTGAGATAACCATGGGTGACCCCTGAACCTATCATAAAAGCATCATAATCAAACCGAACTGAACCAAAAAATCGAATCGAATAATTTTTTTTGTACATTTAGATTCAATTTGGCTCGAATAATTAAAACTAACCATTCTTTTTTTTTCAGTTCGGTTACCTTTCGATTTTTATCCTAAAGCTAAAAGGGCTAAAACCCTTCTCCATCCGTGTGACTGCGAGAAGATGAAACACGTAGACGATCAAATGGCATTCGGATCGACATTAGCGAAGAATTTCTTTTGATTGAGGACGTCAATGTTCTCACTTTATGTAATAAAGTCATAGATATCAATGTATGTCTTTTACAAGAAGGACTCATTAGTGCGATAAAGATTTAAATTATGTTTGAATTTTTTTTTCAATTGGCGATGAAAGTAAAAGTAAAGAAAAAGGAGGTGTAGAAAAAATCAGTGAAAGATATCAACGTGTCTTTTACGAGAAGGACTCATTAATTCGATACAGATTCAAATTATGTTTGGAAGATTTTTTGAATTGGCGATGAAAATAAAAGTATGGATCTAAAGGCGGTGAAATAAAATTAATAGATATAGATCTAACGGCAGTGAAAAGAATTTAATATATATAAGTGTTTTTACACAAACAGTCTCAAATGAAAAATAGAAACCTGTTAATTGAATACAGTTACATGCAAAAATAAAAATTGATTATTTGTCATTATCTAAAATCTGCCTATGTGAAGAAAATGTTACACTGTCATTGAACAGAATAAAAGCATAAGAATTTTATTACATAGGCTATCAGTTTAGAATTCTTTTTTTCACAAGCAGTCCTAGAATAAAAAAGCATAAATCTATTATGAAATAAATCTACATGTTAAAAATAGAAGTCGTATATGTGACATCCTATAACTGCTTATGTAAAGAACATTTTACACTATCGGTGCATTGAATAGAAATCCATTGAAATATGTTGTTTGCAAAATAGGGGATGGTGGATGAAAAAATAATATTTATGTGAAATCACACTTGTATCTCTTTTTTAGTAAATTTACCAAATTTACACTTTTGTAATAGAAGGGATTTCCACAAAATTTCTGATGTCATAAAATTTGGAAATGAAGAGGTCATTCACGAAAAGACAATGGTACATCATCTCCAGCTGGGACTTTGGCTTCATCCACAAGTCGGTGTATATAACGGGAAGATCCACGAGACAGAAAATAACTTCCACTTCAACCACGGAAAGTACTTCTCTGCTTTAGATTTTTACCTGCTTGCGAGATAGCACAGCAAAGAATCCTTTAATAAAAGGAGAGGGAAACAACTTCAGTGCATCCACCGGCAGGTACGTCCCTTTCTTTTCCTTTGTTGTTCTGATTTGATCCCATGAGACGATTTGAGGGCATGTTTAGTACGAGGAAAAACAAATGGAATCTGCATAATTTGCGCAGAACCTGAGTGCAGTTTGCAGCTGATTATCCTACAGAGCAATTTCATCAAGAGCATGGGGGCAAAACAAATGGGTTCTAAATAGTCGATTACCTTTCATTAAGAGAATACACGAGACCGCACGATCTTCGAACTAGTCAATTTGCTAAAGTGAACAGAAAATGACTTCGAATTCAACCACGTAAGGATACTTCTCTGCTTCAGATATTTACATGCTCGCGAGACGGCACGGCAAAGAATCCTCCATGGATACCCATGACAGTTCACTTTTGAAACCATTGCCAGGTGTGTTCTATTCTTTCTTTTGTTGTTCTGATTTGATCCCAGTAGGCAATGGAACAATTGGAAAAGTTTCGCTTTTAACATTTAATTTCGAAGTAATATAAGCAATATCATGAAAAATTATTGCATTGAAAACTGTAATATTTCTTTATTTTATTGCTTAATAATTATCCCAACACTTTTTACTAAAACATTAAAGGTGAGAGTGTGAAAGAAGAATAATTTGTTCAGAACCCAACCGCATGCTTGGTACGAGGAAAAAACAAATGGGTTGGATAATTTGCGCAGACCCTGACTGTAAAGTTTGCCTACAAAGCAATTTCATCAAGAGGAAAGACAAATGGCTTCTAAGTAGTTAATTACGCATCATCGAGAGACTACACGAGACTGATACTTCGAGGACATGATATTCGAACTAGTTAATTCACTATAGTCATCTCCAACAAAGAAATCTTAATGGTGTTATGAGCCAAAAATAACTTGTTGGTAAAAATAGCTTTCACTATTATGGCAAAGTATAAAGATGACATTCAAAAAGAAAATTCACTAACAAACACATTGTCCAAGGTACATGATAGGTGGAATGTTCTTGCCACCAAACAACAAAAAAAGTAATATGGATTTTGTAAGAAAATTAGATCAATTCTTTTTCCCAACCGTTAAGTCTATCCATAAAGTTTAATTGATTTACTTTATTAAAGAAAGGGATGATTGGTCGAGTGGTTGAGAGTTCCTGGCCTCAGACAGTTAAACTGATGAGGTCCTAGGTTCAACTCCCGCCGATCACATCTTGGGGGCTTACCCGGTGGCATTGGTCTTGTACCCCACCACCCCGAGGAATAGTCCATTGCACGTGGGATACCTCGGTTATCAAAAAAAAAAAAAAGGATCCATGCCATGCATCGGTATGGTAATAGTAATAGTGTTATAAACTTGTATCCTATATCAACTATAACTTATAAATTAATCGTACTAATTAATGAAATCAATGTGATTAAGTTAATTGTTTATTTTTATATTTGTATAGTTCAATTATAACTATTACATGAAATTGTGGAGATAGATAAAATTTTTGCAAAGAATTAGATTATGAATGATATCGTGGAAAAGATCAATGGCAAAGAGAAATAAATTTACTAAAAGCGCATTGTTGCAGATATGAAATTTAGAAGTTCCCACAAAATTAATTCATGATACAATACCAATGTCGAGGAATACTCATGATCTCCATTTAGTTTACGTTATTTTGTTTTAAAGTTTACCATCTAAGTTTAATACAGAAAATTTCATGCATTGAATGTGCCTGATACTAGTCATGTATAGATGATCTAAAGCATAGATGAGGTATTTTTTCTTTTGCAAGGTTATTTATGTGTATTTCTTTTTTTGATGACAAAGAGATTCATATAGACATGAGTTCAGAAGGCACGCCTACTAATGAAGCTTCCCAAGATGGTCGTAGATCAACTAAAGGTTTGTTGCCTTGAATTTTTAATTTTCGTTTTCATAAATCTTGTGTTTCGTGCATTTTGACTTTTTCTAATTTGGAACATTTTAAATTCTACAACATATAAATATTGATATGTATATTCAACTATAATTTTTCATAAATTTTAAAATCTGAATAATCTCTTGAATTTTAATTGAGAAAGCCACCAGAATATAGTCTTTTTTTCTTCCAAAGAGTAAACAACGCGCTCATAGACAAATGTATGTTGAGTAAATGACTGCCCCTTCACTTGCATCCACGTTTCATAGGAACTTTGAGTAGGTGCAATGGTTACACTTGACCTAGAAGCAAGAAGTGCGAAAGCCTGAGGACTTTTGTTGTGAAGCTTTTGCAGCTAGGCCAGCACTAAAGTTCAATGAAAATCATCGACCATTATTTGAAGCCGCATCCAAAGGTGATTGGAAAGCTGCCGAGCAAATCCTCAATGAAGATTGCGAAGCAATAACGGCCAAAATTATGACCTTTGGAAATGAATCCATTACTGTGCTTGATATTGCGGTTATGGCCGAACAAGATCAATGGGTCGAGAACCTAATCCAACGCTTGCCTTCAGAATACGATAATTCCTTTTTCAGGAGGGCCATTTACAATGCTGCACGAGGAGGAAGAATAAGGATGATAAAGGCATTAGTAGACAATGAACCTAACAAAGTATCCTATGCCCTGTGGATTGCTACTAGATTTGCTCCTATGCAAAAGGAGGTTATACGGTACCTGGCCAGGCGTACAACATCCACCCCAGATTATGATACCATGAGAAGCCTTATTATGGCCGGCCATTTGGGTAAGATTTCAGACTCACTCATCTAATCTCATTTCCTCCATTGTTTACTTGATTTTGTTCGTGTCCCAAAAGATATAGGCTTGAATTTAGCTCGCCGCTACCCCGACGTAGCAATATCCGAAGATCTCGAATGCGATAACATTTTGGGAGCCTTGGTGAGGATGGAGTCTTACTTCCGTAGTGGAGCTACACTCAATTTTTGGGAAAGATGTATTTACAAATGTAGGTACCTTTTGCACTTTTGTTTCGTTTTTTTTTTTTTTTGGGGTCTGACCGCTTCTTTTGTTAGATATGTACAATTCGAGCAACTCTATCCACATGGTGTTCACTATATCTCTTCCCATTTTCAGGTATTCCTCTATATTTGGTTGATACATCATTTGATTACTCCAAAGACATGAAGACGGATCGAGGTATTTCTGTTAGTCTATTTAATGGACAAAAAGCATATCATTCATGGATCCAATTGACAAAAAAGTTAAGGGATAGTGACTACATCTATGTATACACATTAATATCTAAACCGTGATATATGTGACAAATTAATATCTAATATAACATTTCTAAAGTTAGTCAAGAAGTCATACTCAGTGTCAAATTACCAAGTAGAATTATTGAGAATTGTAGATTTGAATTTCAAGTCATAGAGGCTGATTGATCCAAGTTTTTTTCTAACATATTCAAGCATTATTAAATTTAATTACATGTGCAATTTTCATTTCATGAGTGTGACATGTATCTTTTTCTTCGTCATCAATTTTTAATTTGCTGACATGATTCTTCTCCCCCTTTGTGGTAGTAGCATTAGCACTTAAGCGAATCAAGATATCACTCTGGAATCTTGCCACAATATCAGGTACACAAAACTGCCATGGTATTTAAAAAAAAGGATATTATTTCATCAACGGGTAGAGATCTCAAAATTTAAATTGTAAGTTAATATTTTTTGAATGTCCCTTTGAGATCATAGTTATTAATATGGACCAGCTCTCGATTCAAATATGATGATACGATTCAATTCGATTCAATTCAAAATCTAAACTACATGTATCGATTCTATGAATTTGTAAAAATACCTCAATTGAAAATAGATCTATGGATCTGTTGCTAAATCTACTCATTTTTCAAAAGAAAAGAATCCCTTTTTTCTCGCTACATTGAGTGTGTTCATTGATAGATCCATCTATTCTCCGCTGCTTGTGTACTACTATATATGCATAAGTACAGTTCCATTATTTTAGTCTCAACTACTATGTATACATAAGAAAACAACACAAATGTGAAAGCCTCTTTAACCTTTTGATTCTTCATCGTTGAGAAAATTGCTTATTTAATGTTACGTGCAGCACCTTTCATCAAAAGGATTGGCGAATCGAAGTTGAGGCATAAATGCTCGTTTGAGCTTGCAAATCTAGTTCTTAAAGTGAAGAAGACTCATATTGAAACTCTCGAATTACTCGAGTTATTGTTAAGTTCAGGCATTGTCCTTGACGCAGCATCTCGAGGAATTTCTGAAATTGTCAAGTCATGTCTTATCCATTTTCCGGAGTTGATGTGGGATGACAATTTTGCCAAAGAATTGATAAAAGTAGCTGTGAACGGACGGCAAGTTGAGTTGTATAGACTAGTGAAGGCATACAATGGAGTTGCAAAATTGAGTGACGATGGTTTAACGAACCGCGACCTAATGGAGGCAGTAGTAAAATGGTCACCAGGATGTGTACCGGCAGATGTTTCTGGGGCAGCTTTTCTTATGCAAAGGGAACTTCAGTGGTTTAAAGTCTGTTCACTTTATTTGTTTACCACCCTTTAGTGCTCCTTAATTATTTTTACATTGATAAGCTTCCTTTATTTTTCTGAAGGTTCTGGCAGATACGAGCGATCCTTCTTTTAAAAATTTGAAATTTAAGGTCAGTTCACCTTATTAGTTTGCCACCCTTTTGTCTTCTTTAATTTATATTTACATTGATAGGTGTCCTTTATTTTTCCGAAGGTACTGGAAGATACGAGCGATCCTTCTTTTAAAAGTCTGAAATTGGTAGAAACAAAAGAAACGAGAGGGAAAACATATTGGGAAGTTTTTGTAGAACAACACGATGATTTACTCAAAGAGGCAAGGCAATGGATTAAGGAAACATCATCGTCTGGTATCGTCGTTGCGACTCTCATCACTACGGTAGCCTTCACTGCGGCCTTTACAGTACCAGGAGGCAACGATGACAGTACAGGGATCCCAATCTTTTTGAATAAGGGTTCATTCTTGGTTTTTATAATTGCAGACGCTCTTGCTCTCTTCTCCTCTGTCGCTGCCATCATGATGTTCTTGGCTATCCTACTTTCACCCTGTGCAATTGAAGATTTCTACCACTCACTACCGAGAAATCTGACACTGGGCCTCAGTCTTGTCTTTGTCTCTTTGCCCTATATGCTGGTGGCATTCAGCTCTGCTATTACAATTATCCTGAGCAACCAATTGAAGTGGATTTCCATCCCAATTACTTTGCTGATGGTCTTCCCTGTTGGATTGTTCTCAATCCTACAGTTGCCATCGTATATTGAAATGGTCGAATCCACTTATTGGCCACGCCTCTACCATCCCCTGAAGCGTTGGAAATGATTTAAGCTGTTATTGGACAAGAACATCCGTGATGTGATCTTTGTTTGCACTTGTTACTATGTGTGAAATGTTAATATTATGGTCCTCACCCATGTTTTAAGACTTTTGAAGTATGACAAAGCCATACTTAAACTAAAGTTTAATGTTTTCTGTCAAGTGCCCACCTTATCTGAATGTGTTATTTGATATTTTCCCCCAAACAAGGAGCAATTACTTCAATGCTCATTGTCGCATTAAGGTGAACCCAATTTTCCAAGAATTGACAAAATGGCTATCAATATAATAATCAATCGGGTTGATCCATTCGAATATAGCAATGATCCACACAAATTCTCTATTCTACACAATATGGCCACCCAACCAGTGGCCACCAACACAAGGAACTTCTAATGTGGGAAGCCGAGCATGTAACGTGACATCCTAAATTTCTCCTTCTATTATGTGAGCAACCATTATGTTATATGAAAATAAATTCCCTACTAAAATTTAAGTAAAACATCATCGGTTTGTCAAATATAGCTCTTACGTTGTATATGTATTACAATGGATGAAGTATGCTTAGCACTTTATAATTCTTACATTAGATCTAGTGCCCCTTATATTACGTGAGATTAATGAGAGTATCATTATAAGTGCCACTAAATTAAGAATATTAGGATAGTGCCATGGGTGACATGATTACTATAAATTGGAATGCTCAAATTGCCTTTAGTACACACAACCTTTAATTAATCTATACATGTGATTCATAATATTCAATATGGGAATTGATATTTATTACATGCTTCAATTACCTTCTTTTTCTCCCTCTCTCACAATCATAATTTGTTAGCTACTCCTAGCATTATTTTACCACAATTCCGCCAAATCAAGTTAGCCACTTTTTACTCATTCATCTTGCCATGTCTCTTCAATTATCAAACATATGTTTTAATCATGAGATGTCATCATCCACGACATTTAGCCATTAATACATAAATGATTGCAAAACAAATAATGCTCCTTAATCATGCACCTAGTTGGCCTAATCATGTTCTCTTTCTCTACCTCTCTCATGCCACTTTTCGTTCATCTATGTTGCCACACCTCCTAAATTGTCAACCATAAGTTTTAACTATGAAATTACATCATGCATGACCTCAACATTCTTAACTTTAGCCTATTAATGCTCTTGATAAGCTTGAATCATCATTCATGCATCTATTTGGGCTATCTTATCTCCTCTCTCTCTCTCTCTCTCATTAATGCTTGACAACTCAAATAATGCTTCCTCATTCATGCATTTTACTTGCCAATAATGCTCTCTTTTTCCAATCAAATATCTCGATGTTTTAACCCAAATCTTGCCACTTGTCATCCAAAAGATTATTCACATTCTCTTATTTGTGCCATTGAACTTAGCCATTAAAATGACATTACTCATGACTATTTAACTCAACCAAGGTTTGTAGCAATCATTACAATTGAAGTTAAGAAAATGAAAATAAAAGGACACCCTCTTTTCCCTTTCTTGGTTGAGACATCACTCCCTTCGATTTCCACTTCAAGAATTGCTTCATCTTCCCATCTTTCATAAACGAAACAACTTTTTCCAGTTAAAATTTTCAATCAATCTTCAACTATCCAATTAAGTTATGGTTTTAGCTCAACTTTCAAGAGTCTTACAAAGTAATTAAAGGTTTTGGTTGTTCAAGATTCCATTCAAGGTAAGTGAAAACTCTAAGGACTAAGCTAGAATGATTTATTTAGTACTTTTGACTTGGTTGATTGATATTTGTTAGTTTAAATTTGATCTTAAGCGCAAGTAGGCTCCAAAACTTACAAGTAGAGTTATGGTTCTTTCTTGCCTCTATTGAAATCTTTAATGCATGCCAAGAAGGTGTTTGAAAGAATACCCAAATGGTTTTGTTGCACTTTAAATGGGAAAGAATGAGAAAATGGTAAAACTAGGCGTAAAAAGGGTATCTTAGTAATTTTTTACAAAGTTATGGGCAATTTAAAAAAATTATAGAAGTAAGAGGGTGCTCTTAATAGGGTTATTTTATAGTTTTTAGTGTTAATTAATGGGTTATTAAGTTAAAATAATTAAAGAAAATTATGAATTGAGAAATTTTATTGGGGCAATTATGTAATTTTGGAGAGTAATAGCATGTTTGAGTCGAGAAGTTTATTTTTCTCATGCTTAGTATGTGATTGATTGATTTCCATAATATTTTATGGTATTCTAGGTGTGAAAAATGTGAAAATGGCAAAACTAGATTTGGAAGTGATATTGTTGTAATTCGGACCAAGTTACCAAATTACTGGCTAAGTGTTGTCTGACTAATCAAATTATCGATTAAAGTTGCTGATCCTTGGACTTGCTGATTTTTTTTTAATAAAGTTGCATTTTCTGAAGTTGTAGATTTATAAGTATCCGTTCTTAAGTTACCGATTATCTATATATGGCTTCCGATTAAATGATGATGGCTTAGCATGGACAGATAAGGCAAGTATATGTGTTGAAGTGCATGTGTCGCAACCTTACCTCGGGGTGCACCACTTAGGGGTTTGACTAATGAATTATTAAGCCTAGACTTAACTCGGGCTCTCCCAAGCCATACCAATTCGCAACTTAGGTTCAAATTATTTAACATGCAAGTTAATTTTCACACTGGAATCATCACTAATCTAATTTTGGTGGGTCAATTAGAAACTCAAGTAAAGTATCGGAAGAATTACTTTACTATTACGAACCAGAGATTATGGATTTAGAGACTTGATTACGCTAGATTACTCTAACGCCCTTTTGGTACCTTTCTCTTTTATTTAAAAAAAAATGTTTGCAGGCAGCCTGGATTGATTTTAAACCTATTCATTGACATGTGAGGTGATCATGCGGGTGCGCAGTCATGAAATAAAAACTTAATAAACCAAAGCATTTAAATTAGGGTTAATACCACCAAAAATCCCAAACTGGTACAAGTGTGACAATTTTACCCCGTTTTGAAAAAGTAACCACAAAAAACCCCAAACTGATACACCTGTGACAATTTTATCCATCCAGCCACTTTTGGCCGACCGGCTGTGACGTGGACGCCGGCCGGTGCCGATCGCAATATTTTAATAATTTTATTTTTATTTTTTTAAATTTTTTAAAATTTTTTTTTTCTTTCGTTCTCCCCTTGGCCAAACCGGCCAGGGGGAGCTCACCGGCGAGGTGACATCACCGGCCACTGGGGAGGCTTGCCCTCGCCGGCACTGGCGAGGGCGAGCCTCGTTGTCACCGTCACCGGGTGAGCTCGAGCCTTGCCATGGTCGGGCGAGGTCGAGCTCGCCCAGCGACAGCAAGGCTCGACCTCGCCCGACGATGGCGAAGCTGGACCTCGCCCGGCGACGGCGAGGTCGAGCTCGCCCGGCGACGGCGAAGCTCGAGCTCGCCCGGCGACGGCAAAGCTCGACCTCGCCCGGCGACGGTGAGGTCTCGCCAGATCTGACGATGCTTTCCCCTCCCTCCCCTGCTTCTCTCTCTCTCTCTACCATGGAGGCCCTAAGACCCGCTACCGCCGCCGCCGCCGCCTCCGTTTCGTCTCCCAACCCGTGCCTCTCGATCTCTAGGTCGAGACTGGTGAGTCTCGGGAGGACCCAGCTAGGGTTCGCGCCCACCATTCGCGCTAGGCTCGTCGGGCGAGACTGCCCCGACGACGGGGCCCGGAGGGCGAGCAGGAAGAAGGTGTGGAGGCGGCCGTAGCAGGCGAGGTGCACAGTGGAGGGGATCGAGTGGGGGCTATTGTTCGGGGACAGGGGCGACTGCGTTGAGGCGGCGGCAGTGGAGGACGTGGTCGGCCAGCGACGGCGAGGTCTCGCCATGGCCAAACGAGGTCGAGCTTGCCCAGCGACGACAAGGCTCGACCTCGCCTGGCGACGGTGAAGCTCGACCTCACCATGGCCGGGCGAGGTCGAGCCTCACGGTCGCTGGGCGAGCTCGACCTCGCCCGGACATGGCGAGGCTCGAGCTTGCCCTGCGACGGCGAGGTCTCGCCAGATCTGGGAGAGACCTCGCCGTCGCCGGGTGAGCTTGAGCTCGCCCCGCGAAGGCGACGGCGACGGCGACAGCGAGGCTTGCCCTCGCCAATGCCGGCAATGGCTAGCCTCCCCAGTGGCTGGCGAGCTCCTACTGGCTGGTCCGACCAGGGGGAGAAGGAAAGAAAAAAAAATTTAAAAAGGAAAAAAATTTTTAAAAAATAAAAAAAAACAAAAAAATTATTAAAATATTGTGATCGACGTCAGCCGGCGTCCACGTCACCGCCGGCCGGCCAAAAGTGGCCGGATGGGTAAAATTGTCACAGGTATACCGGTTTGGGGTTTTTTGTGGTCACTTTTTCAAAACGGGGTAAAATTGTCACAAGCATATCAATTTGGGGTTTTTGGTGGTATTAATCCTTTAAATTAATGGTATCAAAGCAATAATTCAAACACCCAAATAGAAATCGATGAAATAAAAAACTAAGCCTATCTTAACCATTGTTTCTAAACAAATCTTTTATTTGGTTTTCTTGATTTTTTATTAAAACCAGGCTATATGCAATGCATGATATGCGAACCTAATTTTAAATATAGTCTACATGACCTATCTAACATGGCATGCGATCTAATTAAGTTAACTTAAGACAAGTAATTAACTAAATGACATGCAAGGGGTATTTTTGGTATTTTTCATTTATTAATTAAAAATTCGAAATTAAAAAGTCTAAATTAAACATGTAATCCTAACTTATCTTAAGAACATATTTTTGGTACTTTTTCACAAAAATTAGAAATTAAAAATTAATGAGGATTAATTATCTATAGTTAGATATTATTTAATTCAAACTAGGAGTTAAAATATCTTAATCCCAATTTAAATCAAAATCTTATCTTAACTATAGATAATATCCTAGAATGCAAGCTCTAACTAGAATTATCTTATTCTATCTATTAGGAAAGTTTAAACTAGGATCCTATCCAGAGCTATTATATCT